AGTTTCCCCTCCTCACCTAATCCCTTTGGCTGATTGCTCTTCTGTCCGGATTCAAGGCTTTTATCCCCTTTCTCCTGCTCTTCCGGCCTGCTACTCTGGGCGTCCCTGCGTTGTCTCTCCTCACCTGTAACCCTGGGGCTGACTGCTCTTCTGTCCGAATGTATCAATATAAATTTATGATGTTGATAACTATCCTGGAACTGCAGGATATGAAAGAACACTTCTTATCTTAGAAACACACACGGACATATTTAGGAGTAAAGAGTCGTGATGTATATAACTTGCCCTCGGATAATTCTGAGAAAATCCCAAGTGTGTGTGAGTGTGTGAGTGTGTGTGTCTGTGTGTATGCTCCCCATCTCTCTTACTTCTGCATCTCTACAATTACACACAGAGATAACGACAAAGCAAATAAATGGGATAAACGTGAGTCACAGCGCAATCTGTGTAAAGGGTGTGTGGGTGTTCTTTGTGTTATATTTATTTATTTATTTATAACTGTTTTTGTAATACTCTGAAAGTCTGGAATTATTTCCACATAAAATTAGTTTAAGAAACAAAACAAAATTTGAGCAGCTGATGTTTGTACCTCATTTGGAGGGTGCTCTTCTCCACCTTCTCTGGGGTCTCTATCTTGGCCACCCAGCCCACACCATGTCCTCTCCTCTGAATTTCCAGAGCACCTCTCTGCAAGCCCCTACCCCCATACTTGGCATAAAACCCCCTTGTACTGTTACCTGTGTAGACATATCTTGTCTCCCCAGGGAGACCTGTGCTTCCTGGGGGCCAACCTCCGATTTATCACCTCGGTTCCAGGCCAAAAGCACTGTTGTGTAGAACCAATGCCTGTCCACTGGTGGACTCCTGGTCAACTGGCAAGGCTCGGCACAGACATCACTTCCTCCTGGGAGCCTTCCCTGACTCCTGGTGGGTTTAGGTGCCTCCTTGGGCCTCTTACAGCCTCCAATCATCCTGTGCTGAAATTGCCTCCCTACTCTTAAGTCTCTCTACTTGATGGTGAGTCTCATGAGGGCAAGTCCTGACTCTCAGAAGCTGCTCAATAAATATTAGTTGAATGAATAAGAAAGGGAAGCCTTCTTGCACTTCCTAAGACCTCTGGGCCTTTGCAAATTCTATTCCCTTCTCTGGAACACTTTTTTTTTTTTTTTTTTTTAATTGTGATTTGGGTGAAAGTTTACAGAGCAAATTCACTTTCCATACAGCAGTTCACACAAATGTTGTCTCATGACATTGACTACAATTTACCCCAATGCAATAGCTCCCCTCCCACTTTTTCCCCGATAGTTACCTCTTTCCTATGTCCATCCCTCCATGCACTCCCGCCCCCTAAACGGTCTCCCTGTGCATAAACAGCCCTTCTTTCTCCCGTGATTGTTCTCTGCAAAGAGTGTATCTACCTCAGGTACATGTTCAACTCCTATGCCTGTCTTTTGTTTGGCTGGAAGCCACAGGTGTGGGTTCAATTCCAGACCTGAAGGACAGCGAGGGGCCATAGTCTAAGGGGTTCCACCAGGCGCTATCAGACCAGCAAACCTGGTCTCCCTTTTTTTCCTCTGGAACATTTTTCCCCTTCTCTTCTCCCCGACCTCCCTTGGTTGCCTCCTACTCACCCCACAGACATGGCTTAAAAGTACAGCATCTTTCTCTGGATTTTCCAGGTCTTGTTTGGGTTCTTCTAGGCTCCCTTGGCCCCTCCTACACTTTTCCATTCTAAACCTTTTTACTCGTCTTCCCCACCAGATCATAAAGCTCCAAGGCAAGTCACCATAGTAATTCTAGCACAGTGCCTGGCATTTAGTAGTTGCTCAATAAATATCTGCTGAACGGACAGATGGATGAATGGATATTTGGGTGGATGGAAGGACCACATTAAGATGCAGTAGAGCTGGACCATTTTTCTGGCCACCACCAGAGGGCAGTGTGACCCAACCAAACCACCCTACCTCTAGCAGCACTGCCAGACCTGGGCTCCCTCATCCCTACTCCCGCCTAGTGACTCAGACAGGAGGCCAGACCACAAAGGAGACACACCACCCACGCGCACCCTGGCAGCCCTGGGAGCGGTTCCGGGCAGGAAGAAGCTGCCGGCAGGGCCCAGCACATACCCAGCATGCCAATGCCCAGCATGAAGGCGTCCATCCCATAGGGCATGACTCGAGACCTCCCCCGGGCAGAGCCCGTCGGTGACATCACCTCTTTTGGCTGAGCTTTCTTACATTCCACCTGCAAAGAGACCTGGCATCAGTTCCCCGGACTGACCTAGAACGACTGTCCCTTTTGCTTCCTGGAGGGCAGGGCCTCTTTTACTATCAATTCTGTAACCACCAGTTGCTGTCCGGTTCATTCCAACTCATGGCGACCCTACGTGTGTCAGGGTAGTACTGTGCTCCACAGGGCTTTCAACGGCTGATTCTTCAGAAATAGATTGCCAGGCCTTTCTTCCTACGCACCTCTGGGTGGACTCAAACTTCCAGCCGTTTGGTTAACAGTGAAACGTGTTAACCGTTTATATCAACCGTTTATATTATAACAGGGCTCCATCTGTTACATAGTTACCATTTATGGAGTGCTCACTATGTACAAGGCAGTGTGTAAACAGCTTTGTGTGCAATATTTTGTCAAACGTTTAGACCAATTCTGTGATCTGTCACCCCATTTTACTGAGAAGGAAACTCAGGCTCAGAGAAAGTAATATGCCCACCTACTACACCAATAACTGGTGGAATACAGGTTTTAACCCAGGTTTCTCTGATTCCACAAGCCATGCTTTTGAATCACCACGTGACACAGCCTCCCTGTACAGCTTTTCAGGGTGTGGGGGACCTGGCTCTGCTCTTCCAGCTGTGAGGTCCCTGCCTGGCTCCAGACCCAAAGAACTCCCCTGGCTGGCTCAGTCTGTAGCCCCAGTCCCTTCGCACCTCTGTCCCCACCCAATCCCAGCTCACCATTTTGTTGTTGATTTCATGGAAATGGATTTCACACACTTTCTCCACAATGTCCTCGCTCTCAAAGGTGACAAAGCCGAACCCTGGAGAGAAGACAAAGACCAGGGTTCATGGTCATGCCTGCTCTATCCTGGGCACATCTCTAATAAAAGCCTCTACTCACAGCCTACCCATTGGGACAGGGTTTCTAGCCCCAAATTACAGATGAAAAAACTAAGGCTCAGCAAAGTGAAGTGACATGCCCCAGGTCACACAGCTGAGTCAGAAGCGGGGCTGAGAATACACTCAACATGTCTTTTCCCTGCCCAGGTGCTTTCCAAAGATGGAAAAAGAACCCATACAAACGCTTATTTAAACTTACACAGGGGCATACACACTCAAACATGCCGTTGTACAAAGATACACGCCTACGTGACGTGTAGGCATGCGCACCAGCGGACACACACACACATTCACATCCAGGGAGCCACACAACACATTCTCTGGGCTCACAGAGGCCTCTTCAAGCCACGTGGACAGTTACCCTGACACACCAGACATGCACGGAAACCCCACTCTCCAAAAAAGCTGGCAGACCCAAAACCCAAACAACTAGAAGAAATAGTCCTGCTTCCTTTGGGGTGTGCCCCAGGGGCTAGAGTGGGGTTCTCAAAAGGCAAGACTTTTGGAAGACAAGCAGCCTGGTTGTGTGTCCACTGTGGCCCAGATGCTCACAGGTTCAGGGGCAAGAGGAGGAGGTTGAGCTGAGCTTGAGGGAGGTGGCTGGTGGTAGTAACAGATTGCCCAGGGCTGTGGAGTCAACCTGACTCAACCCTGGTGCGGCCTGGTTTGAGCTCCAGTTACCAGGGACAAGAGAGGCCCAGTAGACACCGAGCTGGGGTGGGGTGGAGGGCTCAGCTGGGGGTAGGGGGCTGCTCCTCTGCCCCTCTTGAGTGTCTGCTCTGCACAGGAAACGGGCGGGACAAAAGCCTTCTGTAAGGCCAGGCCCGGGAGAGGATGCAGATCCTCCGGGATAGGATGTCAGGAGGCGAGATGAAAGGGCAGCTGTGACCTGCAGCCCCCTGGCTGACCACAGGCCCCACGGGCCAGCCTGGGAAGGGGGAGGGGGCCCACACTCACCTCGGTGCCGGTTGGTGGTTTTGTCAAACATCAGCATAGCGTCGTCTACCTGAAACAGAGCCTGCTATGAAGGACCGACCGGGTGTCAGGGACACTGCCACAACCCAGAAGGGGGGGCTTCTACACCCACTCCATGCTTTATCCTAAGCCTACTCCCTGTGCAGGGGACAACTTTCCCTCTGCAACTCCAACTGGATGCCACAGTGCCCCACCCCCCATTCAACTACCGACTTCTCAATGGACCAGCCTCTCCATTCATTCAGCTCCTACCATGTGCCTGGCACTCTGCCCCATATGCTTTACAAGCGTCACCCTCCCCACATTCCCACATGGTGAGAGAGCCATTTGGTACAGAAAGCAAAGGGGCTCAGAGAGGTGAAGTCACTTGCCCAAGGTCACACAGCAAGTCTTAGACCAAACTGGGAGGAAGAGGAGGGGCAGAGGGGGTGCAGGAGAGGAAATATGGGAGCAGGATGAGAGAGATGGAGAAGCAAAAGCCTCTTCCCAAAAAGCCAAGCGGACAGCAGCCACTCCAGCCAGACTCAACTCCCCTCTCCGGGTTCAGCTCTTTGCCTTTAATTGAGGTTTCCTTTCGCTAGAAGCTGTAATTAAAGCTAGTAGAGTTCAGCTGCTAGCCTCCCACTGACTGGAGGAGGGGAAGGGACTGAGGAAGGGGGAGGTTTACATTAACACTGCTCTAGGACCCCAGGCTTCTCTTCCTGCTACTCCCTCCCTCCAGCCATCCCCTCGGATATGTGGCCCCCCCAAGAGTTAGCTTCTCTTCTCAGGCCCACCTCCCCTTCCCTTTGCCTACTTTTGGTGCCTCCTCCTTGCCATCTTAATCCTTCAGCCAAGGTCAAGTATCCCCGAGGGGTTAAGCTAAGGTCTGATTCACCCTCCCCCAAATGGCCAGGCACCCAAGTAAAAGGACCCTAGGGCCATGGACCACTGGCTCTGCCCAACTCTCTTTCTAGGCCTGTCATCTAACTTGTAAGGGGCCTCCCCTGCCTCATTCATGAGGAAGAAACAGACCTTGAACTAGAGTGATCCTTCAGATCTATTTAGGCACCAACTTGCACCCAGCCTCAGACTCCCCCCTGGGAGAACCAGGACCTCACAGAGCTAGGATGGAGCTAGGTCCCCACAAAATCTCAGAGGGTAATGACATCCATCTCCCCAAGGACTTTCCTGTCTTGGAGACCTGCAGCAGAGTGCCACCTCGCTTTCTCCCAAGGACCCAGCCTAAGTCCCAACACCAACTGATCAGACAGTCCAAGCTGGACAGACCCTTCAGTTCTTCCCCACCTCCTAGCTTCCCCAATGGAAACAGAAACCCAGAACGAAGGGTTGTGCTAGGGCACAAGTTTTGAGTAGGGAAGCCCTGAATTGGAATCCTGGATCCTGCATTTGCTGGCTGGGTGACCTTGGGCAAGTGGTTTTATGTCTCTGTGACTTCAGTTCCTTACCTGTAAACTGTAAAATGAGAATGACAAATATATATATATATATATATATATA